CACACACTCACTCTCTCTCTCTCTCTCTCTCTCTCTCTCTCTCTCTCTCTCTCTCTCTCTCTCTCTCTCTCTCTCTCTCTCTCTTTTTCTCAAATACACACACATTCACAGAAGAACATACTTGAAAACTCATTTCTTTTCTTTATTTTACTACACTTTGGAAGAGTGATTGTATTGTGCAAATTCTAGGGAATTTCAGGATAGGTCTAAGGGTAATTCCTTGTTTCACACATCCAGTCAATCTTGCAACGATCATGTTCTCTTGTAATTATTTGCATTATTCAGGAATCTCTTGCTGTTTTCCATCACAAATGACCAGTTCAGGAAATGAGTGTATATAGTAGTAACTGTTTGTGGTCTCAAGGTCTCAAATTCTGAAACCCTTACTGACCGGTCATGTGTATAACCGTCATAACAAACTGCGTGGTCTGTACAGTTATACATGCAGTGCATCGAGGAAGAAGTTCCGCTACATGTAATGGACTCCTGCACCCAGTGGCTGGATGTTGCCAGAAATCACCAAAGTATATAAATCTAAAAATATTGCCATTTGAGTCTTTATCCTTCCAAATCTTGGGATTTTGTCTCCACTTCCTAACCCAGTCAATGGTTTTCTTCATTTCAGACTTTACTCTTGGTAGATTTTTTTATATACCATTAAGTCTAGAATTTTCCTCTCTGTAAGTGAATTAGATTTTCACCATCTTAGTGCAGTCATTATATAATATATACTTAAGTACTACCTTATTATCAGTTTATAAAGGAAATTCCATATTTAGGTAGAAAGATAGCTAGATAAATAGATAGATAGATATAGATAAATAAATATAATTGATATTTATAGATAGATAAAAAGATAGAGGTGTGTATATATACACACACACACACACACACACACACACACACACACATATGTATATGTATTCATGTACATATACGTGCATATATATACATATATGTGTGTGTATGTAAATATATATTTGTGTGTGTGTGTGTTAGATGCTATCTTTTTATTACTCATTTCATACTATATCGTAGCATTTACTGGAATTTAATACACCTGACCTGACCATTATGTATGAATGTATATTAAATGTTATCCCATTGTTACTCATTTCATACTATGGCATAGCATTTACTGGAATTTAGTACATATGACCTGACCATAGATGCTCACGAAATCCACAACCAATACACATTTGATTATTGATTACCAATGTTCGTGTATTTACATATCTCAGTGCAATATCCTCGTCTAAACATTAATGCAATATTCATAATAAAAAGTTAAATTAAAAAATTACTGTACAAATCTTTATTAATATATGTCTTCTTTCTCCTTCTTTTTTTTTTTTTTTTTTGTCTTTGTTTTTGTTCTTACTTATTTTTACATGTCTGCTTTTAGGTCTGAATACTGGAAGTCAAATCCTAGGAAGTTTTGTGATTTCTGTAAATGCTGGATAGCAGACAACAAGCCTAGCATCGAATTCCACGAGAGGGGAAAACGTCACAAAGAAAATGTGCAGATACGGCTGGCAGAGATGGGAAAGAAGGGACGGGAGGATTTTGAGGCCAAGCAAAATGAAGCTGACTTTCTCAAATCAATGGAAGAGGTACTTCTTGGAGGAAAATGTTTATAGGATAGATGGTTATATATATCATTTTATTGTATTACTTTCATTGATCTTTAGACTTAAGATTTGATAATAATGTGTTTGTCCCAAGGCAGCATTAAAGGCATACAAAAGCGACATTGAGCAGAATCCCGACATGACAGGATCCAAAATAAGCGAAATTGCCGCAGCTAGTAATGCAGAAATTGTCATCAAGAATAAAAAGACAGAATCAAAAACCAGCAGTAGCAGTAAAAAAGAATCATCTGTAATCAAGAACTGGTATGAAGCGAAGTCGCCAGAAGGTTACACTTATTACTGGCACATTGGAACAGGTGGTAAGATCCTTGTCTGGCTGAGTAATTATTGACCTTTTTCTTCTTTTTCTTCATATCATTCTTATTCTTATTCTTATTCTTCTTGTGTGCACACATGGTAGGTAGTGAGTTTGTGTGTGTGTGTGTGTGTGTGTGTCTGTGTCTGTGTCTGTCTGTCTGTCTGTCTCTGTGTGTCTACATCTGTCTGGTGACGAACTCTGGTATAAAGTTCCATTATACATAATACATAATCTTGTTATTTATTCTTTGTTTACATTGCAGTGGTGATGTCAATATGAAAGTTAATCAGAACTTGTCCCTAACCTATCCTGAGTTGAGTTTCAAATTTTGTACCATCCAATTAATTATCAATTCTTGCAGAATCAAAATGGGAGACTCCAGATGAAGGTTACTTATCCATAGAAGAACAGGAAAAATTGAGCACCAAGAGTAGCAAAGGATCAGAGAACACTACAGCAGCCTCTGCCTCTCTTCCTTGCGGTCCAGTCCAGAAAGCAGAAGCCTTTAGCTCGTGGAAAAAAGTTGAAAAGTATGAAGTTCATTTCCTCCTGTCTTTGAAGCTTATGATTATAGATATGCAGTTTAGTGTATTTTGAAGTTGAGGTTAGAGTTAAGGAGTATTATCTTGTCATTTACAGTACTATTTGTTTAGTAAATATCCTTTATTATTTATTGTTTTATGCACCAAAACAGGAGAGATTTTTTTTTTTTTTTTTTTTTTTTTGGGTGGGGGGTGGGGGGTGGGGGGTTATATGAATGTGTTTGAAGTATGAGGCTTAGAAAATATATAGTTGTTTATGATAATACAAATTCATCATTTAATGCATTTGTACAAACAGTGATATTCAAGTAGCTGAAACTTTGTTGTAAATTTGAGCATAATTTTTTTTTGTTATTCATTCCAGTAACCTCAGAAGTTATAATATTTACTTTATCAGGCCAGTACTTCATCTTATAAGACAGTTACATATCATTAATGTGAGGAATAATTTAAGCACTTGAATTCTTCTTATTTATCATATAGACAAGTCTTAGCCACCCAAAATTTGTATAATAATTTATATGAAACCTCATTTTGTTCTAATACAACACAAAATATTTTTTGTACATTTCATGACACGAATCACAAATTTATCCTTCTTTTTTGTTGACCAGATTCTTTTGTGCTTTTAACCCATTCGCGCCGGGTAAAAATTAACAAAAAATGGGGAAAATGCTGTGCTAATTTTTTGTACTTTTTTATGAAATTTCACTACACTAGATGGCTCTGCCTTACCTGATTTCACCTTTACTGGAATTGGCGGGAAAATGTATTTTTACTAGTGTTACGAATATCGATGGTTATCTTTATTATAATCATTATAATTACTATAATGTTATAAACATTAGTAACAGCAAAAGAAGATAACACAAAATAATTTTGTAAATTAAAGAAAAGGGTAAACAGGCGAGACAGGCAGTACAAGTACAAGTGTCGCCATCTATGTGTGAAAACAATTAAACAAGTAAACTCACAGTGAGCCTGTCACATATACGTGACACCCGGCACGAATGAGTTAAAGAATTGAATTTATTTAAGACACTACATTTTCATCAACTTAATGGCATTATTTAATTTACCTTATGATTTCACCATATTACATTTTTATATAGTAATGTCTCATCACATTTTTCTTTGATATAAATTGGAAAAACTCCTTTGTCAGGGAACCAGCCAAGCAGATTGACTACCAGTTGCCAGAGCTCCCTGAAAATGAGTACTATGGTCCAGAGCTGTCCTTCAAGCAACAGGAGTCTACTTTTAAGGTGAAGACAGTGACTCTCTCAGCAAAGGACAGAAGCAGTGGAGAAAGTGTAGGATTCAAGAAGAGAAGAGCAGCCAACGACATGAAAAAGAACATGAGACGGAGAACAGAGGATTTATAGTTGTTTCCTCCTCTTTTGTCTTTTTCTTTTCTTTCTTTGTCTCCTTTATTTTAGTGATTTTATTTCCATCCTATTTGCTCTTTTTTTATTGTCCTTCTTTCATGCCTATATATAATTTTCCATTTTCCCCTATAGTATATTCTCTCTTATTCCTTTTCTTTCTCTGTTTCTCTCTGAATCTTTCTTTTAGTAAACTATCCTATTATGTGATGGTTAAAGAGACACACATTGTAATTTTGAATAAAAGCCTTGTTGATA